ATGCCCCTGGTACCTTTTTCATAGGCTTTTTTGAGTTTGGGCAAGGAAACCAGGGCCCCCATAATCCCCTATTGCTCGGGGGCCCCATGAGTTGTCAGTCCGCCCCTGGGTAGGAGACCAAGGTGAAGCCATTTCTTCCAAAGAGAATTTCAGCTTGTGTGTGGATGGGTGCCATTTTGTTGTAGTCCAGGATGTGTCTGACGAGCCAGTATTCAACCCAACCAGCACCTGTTAACAGTGTGACCAGTCAGCTGGGATAACAATTCAGGACATTTAAGGGGTGTCAATTTTATTTCAAGTTAAAGTGTTGTCACTGGCTATAGGGAGGACAGCCATTACTGTGATTCTGGCAGGATCACCAGGTAATTGTTACATGAAAGAGCACTTTGCTGATGCAGGCACTCAGCCTACCATTGTGAATTTTTCCTCTGCCTGACGTACTTTTAAAAACAAAAAAAAAAATTTCTAATGTTCTTGTGCCCAAAGTTGTTATTAGACCTTGGTGAGCCTCTTGAAGCTTCCTCTATTTGAGCTCTGTGCTATCTCTGGGAAGCTGTCACGGAGGTGGAATGCATTTGGTTATGCTAGAACGCTTCCGTATACATAGGACCAGAATAGAAAGAAAATAATCAATGTCAGGATCTTTACTGCACTAAAGACTCGCGTCAGAGCCTGAACATGAATAACTCTATTAATACTAGTGCTGAGAAAGCAAACAGTCTCTGCCCCTCCGGGCCTGGATCATCTTGCCAAGACTGATCGTCACGCTGCCTTTTCCCTTGACATGAATTACTTTGGAGGATTTATGTAATAATGAGAATGTGAAATAATTTGCTGTTATCAACAGTGGTCGGTCACAAATCAGACGCATGATGCAACCAATCAGCTTTCGAAGATTTTTTTTTTTGTTGGTTGCTCTTAGTTGGCACATAATGCTCTTTGCACTCTAATTTTGCTGAACAATGTATATGACATACATAATCAATAGTTTAACCATCTCAATTTTGCCATATAGTAGTGGATGGATTTACTAAGCAGCGTTGCAGAAAACACACATGGGCAACAAGTGCCCCCATGAATGGATGTGATATAACTTTCATTGGGCAGCTCAGAATACAGTCCCATTGTACAGAGCCTATCAGAGTGGCTCTATAATGTGTGATCACTGTAAACCAATCACAGCAACCACAAGTGTCAATACTGCAAGTGTTTACAAACATCCAGCTCATTCAGAATGGAGGAAGGAAAATGAGGAGGGGGGTTGCTAAATGTTTTTAACAATGCAGGAAGGAGAATTGCAGCATATCAGGGGGGATTGTTTTTTTCTTGTTTATTTTAAGTAGTGGGAGGGGGTTTATGGCTTTGTTCACATGAGTGCAAAATTGTGCACTTTCCCGCAAAGCACAAAAATGCGCTGCTTCTTTGCAGACTTGTGTTGATGCCATTGATTCTTAATGGCACCCCCATGTCTTTTGCAAACGTGCGCACCAAAACGCTTGTCCATACTGTGGCACAAACACAAGACACATATTGTATGCATTTGTGGTGCATTGGGGCAGCAATTATGGGATTAAAACAGTTGGTGAGATGGCATCACTTTGCTGGGCTTTTTTGCCTTTCTCTGGATCAACTGTGGGTGTAGGATTATAACTTTTTTTTTTATGGTCGAACTGGATGGACTTTTGTCTTTTTTCAGCCAGACTAACTATGTGACATCGCCTCTTCACCACCTCTCTAATGCCTCTGAAAACTATTTGAATGCAGATTGTTTTCCAGAGGTTCAGTGGCTTCGGTGCGAGTCTGAACATAGCCCTAGGGGCCCTGGTACCCAACCTGTGGCTTTTTGGTGTTTGAAGTGCAGCCCTTTGGCCCCTGCAGTCAGTAGAGGGAGCACTGATTTGTAAAGTCCAGCGGTCTCATGCAACATATCCCTAGTCCCTGACAGTCTCCTATAGCATGACTTCAGTCTTCAGCCACTCCAGTAGGACAGTCTCTGACCATATCCTCTATTAAGTATTCATTCTGTGACAGATTTCTGTAGCATTACATGTAACCGGCATTATATGTGGCCTTTTGGAGACTTTAAGGGTTGCATTTGAGATACCCTTTACCTTGCAAGTTGACAGCCACTGCTTAGGGTGATTGCAAAACATTGATTTTACTTGCATGTGTTCAGGATGCATTTAAAAAATGCACCTGGAAGCATCTGGTGTGTGCAAGCCCTAAAAAGCATTTTTATGAATGTAAATTGCCAGTGGTTAAAAACTCAGAATAAATGTTTTATTTTACCATTGGGTGGCAGCATAGAGCCAAACCTTGTTGGTCCCTGAAGGACTGCGAAGCCTCTGTCCATGTTCAGCGAGGTGCCGTCAGCCTCTGTCCATATTCTGCGAGGTGCCATCAGCCTCTGTCCATGTTCAGCGAGGTGCCGTCAGCCTCTGTCCATATTCTGCGAGGTGCCATCAGCCTCTGTCCATATTCTGCGAGGTGCCATCAGCCTCTGTCCATATTCTGCGAGGTGCCATCAGCCTCTGTCCATATTCTGCGAGGTGCCATCAGCCTCTGTCCATATTCTGCGAGGTGCCGTCAGCCTCTGTCCATATTCTGCGAGGTGCCGTCAGCCTCTGTCCATGTTCTGCGAGGTGCCGTCAGCCTCTGTCCATGTTCAGGGAGGTGCTGTCAGCCTCTGTCCATGTTCAGCGAGGTGCTGTCAGCCTCTGTCCATGTTCAGCGAGGTGCTGTCAGCCTCTGTCCATGTTCTGCGAGGTGCCGTCAGCCTCTGTCCATGTTCAGCGAGGTGCCGTCAGCCTCTGTCCATGTTTAGCGAGGTGCCGTCAGCCTCTGTCCATATTTTGCGAGGTGCCGTCAGCCTCTGTCCATGTTCAGCGAGGTGCCATCAGCCTCTGTCCATGTTCAGCGAGGTGCCATCAGCCTCTGTCCATGTTCAGCGAGGTGCCATCAGCCTCTGTCCATGTTCAGCGAGGTGCCATCAGCCTCTGTCCTTGTTCAGCGAGGTGCCATCAGCCTCTGTCCTTGTTCAGCGAGGTGCCATCAGCCTCTGTCCATGTTCAGCGAGGTGCCGTCAGCCTCTGTCCATGTTCAGCGAGGTGCCGTCAGCCTCTGTCCATGTTCAGCGAGGTGCCGTCAGCCTCTGTCCATGTTCAGCGAGGTGCCGTCAGCCTCTGTCCATGTTCAGCGAGGTGCCGTCAGCCTCTGTCCATGTTCAGCGAGGTGCCGTCAGCCTCTGTCCATGTTCAGCGAGGTGCCATCAGCCTCTGTCCATATTCTGCGAGGTGCCATCAGCCTCTGTCCATGTTCAGCGAGGTGCCATCAGCCTCTGTCCTTGTTCAGCGAGGTGCCATCAGCCTCTGTCCATGTTCAGCGAGGTGCCATCAGCCTCTGTCCTTGTTCAGCGAGGTGCCAACAGCCTCTGTCCATGTTCAGCGAGGTGCCAACAGCCTCTGTCCATGTTCAGCGAGGTGCCGTCAGCCTCTGTCCATGTTCAGCGAGGTGCCGTCAGCCTCTGTCCATATTCTGCGAGGTGCCGTCAGTTTCTGTCCATGTTCAGCGAGGTGCCGTCAGCCTCTGTCCATGTTCAGCGAGGTGCATCAGCCTCTGTCCATGTTCAGTCAGGTGCCATCAGCCTCTGTCCATGTTCAGCGAGGTGCCATCAGCCTCTGTCCATGTTCAGCGAGGTGCCATCAGCCTCTGTCCATGTTCAGCGAGGTGCCATCAGCCTCTGTCCATGTTCAGCGAGGTGCCGTCAGCCTCTGTCCATGTTCAGCGAGGTGCCATCAGCCTCCTAGTTCTGTTGCATTTTTTGCAGACGGGACACTGGCAATCACTAAAGATATATTAAGCTTTCAAGTCAAATGCTTTGAAAACTATATATTCACTACACAGTCAGAGAAAGCAAAAATGTTACCCAGATCAGCCAATAAGGTCCAAAAAAGTAATTTGTCCAAGGATGTTTATAATGTAACAGAGGCTATTGGTTTTTATTTTGTGCATAAAAAATATGTTACAGTCTGGAAAGATTTTCTTTATTAATTGCCTTCATTAAAGTGTTACTAAACCCACAACAGTAAAATCAGTCTGTATATGCAGTAAAGCATGCTTGTTATACTCACTGTGGAATCTAAGGGGTTAATCCTCTGCATTGTGAAAAAAGGCCGCTTGATCCTTTCTTCTCTGCTCCTCCACTTGTTCAAATGTCCACATCTTATCTCCTGATAAGACAGACTGAACCCGTAGTCACATGCACATGCTCAGGTAGTGTGAGAACAAAACTTTTCTCTTGGGAGAATGCATGTGATCAGCACAGAGCCAATCAGCACTGTCCAGACAGAGGTCAGGGGTTTTGCATCCTCCTAGAGCAGAAAGAAATCTCCCTCTACACGCTTTAACCAGTGCTCTGCTGGACACTGATAGAAGTCACAGAACTGCTCTAACTGCTAATAGAAAAAGTATTTAGCAGTTTATATTTACTAAAATAATTGCATTTCCATGATGTGTGTACTGTGGGAGACCAGATATAGTGAATGCAGGGTCCGGGAATACCAGATATAGTGAATGCAGGGTCCGGGGAGACCAGATATAGTGAATGCAGGGTCTGGGGAGACCAGATATAGTGAATGCAGGGTCCGGGGAGACCGGATATAGTGAATGCAGGGTCCGGGAAGACCAGATATAGTGGATGCAGGGTCCGAGGAGGAGACCAAATATAGTGAATGCAGGGTCCAGGGAGACCAGATATAGTGAATGCAGGGTCCGGGGAGACCGGATATAGTGAATGCAGGATCCGGGAAGACCAGATATAGTGGATGCAGGGTCCGAGGAGGAGACCAAATATAGTGAATGCAGGGTCCAGGGAGACCAGATATAGTGAATGCAGGGTCCTGAGAGACCAGATATAGTGAATGCAGGGTCCGGGGAGACCAGATATAGTGAATGCAGGGTCCTGGGAGACCAGATATAGTGAATGCAGGGTCCGGGGAGACCAGATATAGTGAATGCAGGGTCAGGGGAGACCGGATATAGTGAATGCAGGGTCCGGGGAGAGCGGATATAGTGAATGCAGGGTCCGGGGAGACCAGATATAGTGAGTGCAGGGTCCGGGGAGACCGGATATAGTGAATGCATGGTCAGGGGAGACCGGATATAGTGAATGCGGGGTCCGGGGAGACCAGATATAGTGAATGCAGGGTCCGGGGAGACCAGATATAGTGAATGCAGGGTCCGGGGAGAGCGGATATAGTGAATGCAGGGTCCGGGGAGACCAGATATAGTGAGTGCAGGGTCCAGGGAGACCGGATATAGTGGATGCAGGGTCCGGGGAGACCGGATATAGTGGATGCAGGGTCCGGGAGACCGGATATAGTGGATGCAGGGTCCGGGGAGACCAGATATAGTGAATGCAGGGTCCTGAGAGACCAGATATAGTGAATGCAGGGTCCGGGGAGACCAGATATAGTGAATGCAGGGTCCTGGGAGACCAGATATAGTGAATGCAGGGTCCGGGGAGACCGGATATAGTGAATGCAGGATCCGGGAAGACCAGATATAGTGGATGCAGGGTCCGAGGAGGAGACCAAATATAGTGAATGCAGGGTCCAGGGAGACCAGATATAGTGAATGCAGGGTCCTGAGAGACCAGATATAGTGAATGCAGGGTCCGGGGAGACCAGATATAGTGAATGCAGGGTCCGGGGAGACCAGATATAGTGAATGCAGGGTCAGGGGAGACCGGATATAGTGAATGCAGGGTCCGGGGAGAGCGGATATAGTGAATGCAGGGTCCGGGGAGACCAGATATAGTGAGTGCAGGGTCCGGGGAGACCGGATATAGTGAATGCATGGTCAGGGGAGACCGGATATAGTGAATGCGGGGTCCGGGGAGACCAGATATAGTGAATGCAGGGTCCGGGGAGAGCGGATATAGTGAATGCAGGGTCCGGGGAGACCAGATATAGTGAGTGCAGGGTCCAGGGAGACCGGATATAGTGGATGCAGGGTCCGGGGAGACCGGATATAGTGGATGCAGGGTCCGGGGAGACCGGATATAGTGGATGCAGGGTCCGGGGAGAGCGGATATAGTGAATGCAGGGTCCGGGGAGAGCGGATATAGTGAATGCAGGGTCTGGGGAGACCGGATATAGTGGATGCAGGGTCCGGGGAGACCGGATATAGTGGATGCAGGGTCCGGGGAGACCGGATATAGTGGATGCAGGGTCCGGGGAGACCGGATATAGTGGATGCAGGGTCCGGGGAGACCAGATATAGTGAATGCAGGGTCCGGGGAGACCAGATATAGTGAATGCAAGGTCCGGGGAGACCGGATATAGTGAATGCAGGGTCCGGGGAGACCGGATATAGTGAATGCAGGGTCCGGGGAGACCGGATATAGTGAATGCAGGGTCCGGGGAGACCAGATATAGTGAATGCAAGGTGCGGGGAGACCAGATATAGTGAATGCAGGGTCCTGGGAGACCAAATAGAGTGAGTGCAGGGTCCTGGGTTTAGTAACACTTTAAGGCTGAACTCCAGGCTCTTTTGAATACAGTTCTGTAATAATCATTGTTATATCATTACATGTGTATTTTAAATGTAAGCAGTCTATTGAATTTGACAATCAAGCTTTTGTATTTTACTGGCAGGAAGGGGATGTGGGGAGAAGCAGCACAAGGTGTGCTGCAGTGCAAAAAGCCTTGTTGGTGACAGGTGAGAGCAGTGAGCTCATCAGTCTGCTGCTTCTCCTTTCATTGTCCATTCACAGGGTGGGGGTGGGGAGGGGACCTGTAAGTGAAGGTTAAACTGTAGCAGAGAAATTTAAGGTCCCCTACCTTGCTAAACAGGCTGTGCTGTCGGACAGACCTGTGTAAATCTAAGAAACTGGATGGACAGCAATACGGATCCTTTGCAACTAAAAAGCTCTCATAAATATGTTTTATCTGTCTATTTAGCTGTTTGCTTGGAGTTCAGCTGTAGGCTGGGTTCACATATATGCAATGCAGTATTTCGCATGTGATTTGCACAGGAGCCATACCGTATTCCTGTGCAAACCACATGCGATTTGTGTGCGGTGCGATTGGAGCCATACATTTTGCCATACATCCCACACCAAAAAGATGCAGGACCCTTGTTTTGGTTTGCACTAGAATCGGATCGCATGGGTATTCACACCTATGTGATCCGATTCTGCACATCGCACATCCGCGTTTTGCGGACTGATTTTGGGGTGTTAACTTAACATACACACCCGCAGCGGTTCGCATGAACGGGGTGCGATTCTGATGCAGTGAGGAATTCGTACAGAAAGTACTGCGAATTCCGCATTGCATTAGTGTGAACCAAGTGGTTGTAAACCTCAGACATGATATATGTGGCCTATCCCTCTATAGTGTGGATGTGTCTTAATTAAGAGCACTAAGTGTCATTTCTCTCTGCTGCCTTGTTCCTCTACTATCAGCATCAGTCACTTCTGACAAGTTTTCCTGACACCAAGAAAAAAAAATGTGACAGGACGGCACAGCCTGTGATTGACAGCCTCATCTCTATGCTGTGTGAGGGGGGTTACCTCTTTCCTCCAGTCAGATCTCAGAGTTCTCACTGATGTAACTTCATCTTCCCGCCAGACAAGCTGTATAAATTCTGCACTTTGAATAGATGTAGAGAAGAGAATACAGTAGATAAACAGGTACAGCCTTCAGCAGGCGCGGACTGACAACTCATGGGGCCCCCGGGCAATAGGGGATCATGGGGCCCCTGTGTCCTTGCCCAAACTCAAAAAAGCCTATGAAAAAGGTACCAGGGGCATCTCATGGGGCCCCCTACTGACCCCGGTCCCTCGGGCAGTGCCTGAGTTTCCAAATGGTCAGTCCGCCCCTGTTCTAAATCTACACATCAATCAGCTTCTGTCTTCAGCTTGTTCAGTTAGGTCTCATGTACATGGGTATATGAATTATGCTGGATTTTTTTGGCCAGAGAATGCCTCTAATGTTACGTATGTACTGTACGTGCATTTCCACACATATGTCATTGAGCATAAATGCACTCTACTGTCTAAAGCATTCATTTATTCTGGCCATTGAAATACATTTACGCGCATATGGTGTACACGCTCTTAAAATACAGATCTAAACACCTGATGTGCAAGGCCACATATCCTATCATAGAACTGCATTTAGAGACATAAAAAAAGAAAACACACCTCTAACTGCGGCATTTGTTCTGCCTCATGAGGCCTTAAAGTGGAAGAAAAGCCTAACACTAAATATTCTTAACTGCTTCCCTACCACCCTATAACAGAACTACTGCTACAGGGCGGGAGAGCTGCGCAAAATCACGTGTATATATACACGTGATTTGTAGTTCTTAGGTTAGGGGGCGCACAGCAGAGCAATACAAAGCAGCTTGTCTTTATAGTAAAACACAACACTGCACACAGTTAACCCTTTGATCGCCCCAGATGTTAACTCCTTCCTGCCCAGTGTCAGTGCAGTGTCAGTGGTTTTTATTAGCACTGATCACTGTATTGGTGTCACTGGGGATGTCAGTGGCACCAAGTCAGTTCCCCCCAGTGTCAGAATGCCCGCTGCAGTCCCGCTATAAGTCACTGATCGCTGCCATTACTAGTATAAAAAATGTTTATTTTGAATTCCAGTATATATACAGCCATTTGTAGACGCTATAACTTTCAGGTAAACCAATTAATTTACACCTATTGGGATTTTTTTTTTTTTTAGCAAAGATATGCAGCAGAATACATTTTGCCTAAACTTATGACGAAATTAGATTTTTTTCAATTTTTTTAATGGATATGGCTTGTAGCAAAAAGTCAAAAATATTGTGTTTTTTTTTTTTTCAAAATTGGCGGTCTTTTTTTTTATAACGCAAAAAATAAAAACCGCACAGGTGCTCAAATACCAGCTTTATTTGTTGGGAAAAAGGACATAAATTTCATTTGGGTGCAGCGTTACATGACCACATAATTGTCAGTTAAAGTAACACAACGCTGTATCACAAAGAATGGCTTGGTCAGGAAGGGGGGTAAATCCTCTGGAGGGCAAATGGGTAAAGACATTCCCTCCTCCTACCTATCCTGCATACCCTGTATAGAAAAAGAGATCCGTGTACTTACCTTTTTTTTAATCTGATCTGGTCAATCCTGCAGCTCCAGCTTCCCTGTGTAAGCTGACAACGGTTGTGAATCCTGGGAGGCATGACATCATCCATAGGCTCGCTCCCATGGCCCAGCCGTTGTCAGTACTTCCTCCTCTCCCCCCTCAGCAGCCAATCACTGTCACAAGAGAGCCAGATCTGTGGGATCACCTCACTGGAATTGATTATAAAGAGTTTGGTACACATGGTTTTTTTGGGGTTTTTTTCACGCAAGATATTATTATTATTATTATTATTATACAGTATTTATAAAGCGCCAATAGTTCGCTCAGCGCTGTACATTACAAAGGGGGACAGAACATGTGACAGAACAATACCAATACAGTGCAAAACATGAGGGGTTCGAGGGCCCTGCTCTCTCGAGCTTACAATCTAGGAGGGAGGGGATGGTATCACAGGAGGAAATAGCTGTGGGGGATGGAGTGGTAGGAAGAGTGGAGGAGGTCGGCAAGTTAGCAGGGGGTGGGGTAGGCTTCCCTGAAGAGATGGGTTTTCAGGGTGCGCCTAAAGGAGAGGAGAGTAGGTGATAATCTGATGGGTTGGGGCAGGGAGTTCCAGAGGATGGGTGACACCCTGGAGAAGTCCTGGAGGCGGGCATGGGAGGAGGAGACCAGGGAACTAGAGAGAAGGAGGTCTTGTGAGGAGCAGAGTGTGCGTGCTGGGCGGTACTTGGATATTAGGTCAGTGATGTAGTTCGGGGCAGTATGGTGGACAGCTTTGTACGTCAGTGTTAGGATTTTGAATTTGATCCGTTGCGCAATCGGAAGCCAGTGGAGAGATTGGCAGAGATCTTAAGTTATGCAGGAGAGGGGAGGGAATGTTTTCAGGAATAATTAGGCCCCTTTCACATGGGGTGGACTCTGTTTAGATCAGCATGGGATCTCTCTGCTGATCTCCAGATGATCATAGCAGAGGGGGCAGAAGACAGGTCCGTGTCTGCTCAGTTTAGGCCCTGTGGGTGGTCTGTAATCAGACCTGACTGCCTTCCGATCCAATCTACCTAGATGGAGGGTGATAGATCCCCTTCTCTTTTTCAGCAGTCCAGATCAAATTTGAGTTAGGTGGGTGTGAATTTACACAAGTCTCCAGTCCATAGGGGTGAATAGAGGATCCGATCAGGTCAGCCTGGAAAACCAACAGACGGACCCGATCGGCCCCTTTGTGGGAAAGGGGCCTTAGTGCTAGCCTTTTCTTCCCTATTAAGCTTTGAAATCCAAGATAGCAGCTGATTGGTTGCCATACACATGCGTCTGTGATGAGCTAGGACTGCGAACAGAGGGAATCAAAAACTAGTTTTGAGGTGTTCTGAGAATCTTATAGGTCAGAAGGATCTAGAAGGGGTGAAGGTCCACCTAAAGCTACCTTTCCATTTAGGACTGCCTTGTCCACAGGGTGACAATGCAGTGTTGTCCAATGTTGTTGTCCTGTTAAAGGACGTGGAAAAATGACAGGTCTTCTCACAGAATCAAAAGGTTATAAATGATATTCGGAGGGAAGCTCAAATACATGAACTGCTTTGTCAATGCTGGTGACAGACTGCAGCATATACAGTTTTTCTTATTTTGTACACAGATCCACTTTAATGTAAATAGGGGTTCCATTACTGATCTCATTCCGAAACTGCCAGGTTCTTGGCTGTTATGCTGACATTTTGGCTTCAGTTCTTTTATTGACCCAACATAAGTATGTGTTCTAGGTGGGGTGATCCATGCCCTAGGGATTCAGAGGGGTGAATGGAAGTTTTTAGGAGAGAAATGGGACAAGTTTGAGATTGCCTCCATGTCTGTATTCTGTGCTTGTTCTGTCTTATCAGACAATATGGGTTGAAGGAGACTTACGGCGTGCAGCGTTGGAGTTGCTAGACAGAAAGGCAGCTGCGTGTAGGAAGATGTCTCACTGAGAAGTTCAGCTCAGTCTTCAGTTCTAAGCAGCGTGAGAGATATATTTATAAAAACCAACTTATAAT